ATATATATATATATCAGCTTCTTGTAGAAACGGGAGAGTGAGATTGGCTTGTGATGATGGGCCTGGGCTAATCTTCTATTCTAACATCCCCTCTCAAGCGGATTGGGCTTTGAAAGCACAGTCAGCTTGCCAAGAAGAGAAATAAAACGCTGTGAAGAAAGAGCTTTGGTCATTATGTCTGCAAGTTGATCTTCGGATGGAGTAAACTGGACAGATAAGAGCTTCCTGGAGACACGCTCATGCACAAAGTGGTAATCAATTTCTACATGCATGGTACGAGCATGGAGAATTGGATTAACCGCCAAGTAGGTGGCACTCAAGTTATCACAAAAAATGACCGGATAAGTTCTGCTGCAGCATTTGCCACACCTCTACATTCTGATTCCGTGCTTGATCGAGAGATAAATTTCTGCTTTGATGAAGTCCAGGAAATAAGACTCTGTCCAAGGAAGACACAAAAGCCACTGGTGCTACGCCGATCATCCGGACAACTTGCCCAATCAGCATTGGTGTAGCAAGAAAGTGACAAGGATTTGGAGCCTTGAAGAGAAACACCGTGATGGATTGTGCCTTTGAGGTACCGCAGAATCAGCTTAAAGGCCTTCCAGTGAACATCAGTTGGAGAGTGCATGAATTGGTAGGCCTTGTTTACTGCAAAATTGATGTCGGGCCGGGTAAGAGTGCAGTATTGAAGTGCCCCAACAATGCTGCGATAAGCTGTTGCATCAGAAATAAGAGTGGCCTCAGTGGCCGAGAGAATTTGAGAAGAAGACATAGGAGATTGTTGAGGTTTAGAGTTCGTTTGGTATGAGGGTTCAAACCAGGGTGATTCTAGTTTTGATTTTAGAACCTATGATTTTGGGTCCAAATCATAGTTCTGAAACCAGAACTAGAATTAGGGGTTTGAAACACTCAAAATCAAAGAGGGGGTGGTTTTAAAATTATGGGTGATTCATAGTTTAAAACATCACATCAGGGTTCAAACTTTGAATCAGAACCATGCTAACCAAACACTGATTCTAGATGAGTCAAATCAGAACTACTTTTGACTTTTTATAAACAAATATTGGTTCTGAACCAGAATCATGGCTCCGGATTCAGAACCCTTACACCAAACAACACCTTAGTGTCACTCATTTCCTGTCGAGTGAGTAAATCTCGAATGTACTTTGCTTGGTTTAGATGAAGAGTGTTAGCAGATAATGAAACATGGATTCTGAGGAAGTAGCGAAGGTCTCCCAAGTCTTTAAGAGCAAATTGATCATTAAGTGTGAATGATGGACTGAATAAGGGTAGCACTACTTCCTGTGATGATAATGTCATCAACATACACAAGCATAATAAGAATTCCTGCAGTAGACTTGTAGTGGAACATAGAAGTGTCTACTTTGGAAACATGAAAACATATTGGAGAAGAAAGTTGCTCAATTTTGTGTACCAAGCCCGTGGGGACTGTTTTAGTCCATATAAGGCTTTGACCAGCTTGCAAACAAGGTTAGGCTTAGTAGGATCAATAAAGCCACGGGGCTGGTCCATATAGACATCCTCATGAATGGAACGCATTATGTACATCCAACTACCGAATTAGCCAAAACTATAAGATAACGCCAAGGTGAGAACCACTCTAATAGTACAAGGCTTTACCACAGGACTAAGGTCTCAAAGTAGTCCAAGCCTGCAGTTTGGTGGTACCCTTTGGCTACTAGCCGAGCTTTAAATCTCTCTAATGTACCATCAGCCTTAAGTTTTAATTTGTAGACCCATCGGCAGCCAATGACAGTGTGCTTAGCAGGGGGAGGAACAAGAATCCATGTATTATTTCTTTTTGGTGCATCAAATTCTGCCTGTTTATAAGTGGTTGGTTCAAATAGAGCAGTGGTCTTAGAGGCTGCAAAAATCTTTGCTCTTGCTCTAGTGACCATGGGGTATATATTTGTCTCTCAAGGTTCATGATGGACACAAACTCCTGGTATTCCGGAGACAAAGTCAGGTGATGGATGTGCAATTGGTGCGGGAGAGTGAGAAGAGTAGACATTAGATGTGGAAGAAGAAGAATTTGAAGTAGAAGAAGAAATGGAGGAAGGAGTGTGAGTATTAGAATGAAGTGGTGTAGTACTCGGAGTGACAGGAGTAGGAAAAAACCCACGTGAAAGAGAAGAAGGTGGAGATTCAGGTTGTTGCGGAATGTGGGAAGATGGTGTAAAGGGCTGGACACTAATAGAAGAAACAGGAAGTGATGGAGAGGAGGTCGTAGGGTGAGTAAGAGAGTGAAAAGGAAAATTGTGTTTATTAAAGATAACATGTCTAGAGATATAGATTTTGCCATTACAAGGATTTAGACACATATACCCTTTATGTTGGAACTATAACGTATGAAAACACACTCAGGTTTTGAGATTTGTGGAGAAAGGAAAGAAAACTCAGAGGAGGATTTTGGGAATGAGATAAATTTTGACCTTGTTCAGTTCGTTGATTCAAGTTTTTAATTTGAGTTGAGGTGTGACTTTATGTGAGAGCTTTTAACTGTAGTAAAAAAAATTAAAAGTAACTTTTTATGAGAGTTTTTCACTGTAGCAAAATTAAAATTGAAAACTCGAATCGGTAAAATAAATAAGGTCATGGTTATTCCCATTAATTTCAAAATTGTGTATTGGAGAAGCTTTATACAAGGAATAATCTGCTAAGTAACTATACAGCTGTCAAAACTCTATATTTTATATTTTTAGTGTACAAAAGGAATGAAATATATATATCGGCTTCTTGTAGAAATGGGAGAGTGAGATGGGCCTGGGCTAATCTTCTATTCTAACACCTAGAATACATTTCATATTCTATCCTAATATTTTATTAATTAAGGGTCCGTTCATTTCGTTGATTCGAGTTTATAATTCGAGTTGAGATGTGATTTTATGTGAGAATTTTTTACTGTAGCAAAAAGTTAGATGTGATTATTTGTGAGAGCTTTTTACTGTAGTAAAACTCGAATTCTAAACTCAAATCGGTGAAGTGAACGGGGCCTAATAACATAAATAATGAGATGATGAAGAACGATGATTATTTTTATAATTTTCTCGAGAGAGAGAGAGAAAAAAAAAGGCTTCATGTTTATAAGGAATTGTGTTATAGAGAGCCCAAAATATAAAAGGCAAGAAAAACTAAAAAACTATCATATATAATTAGCAATTGCGTATACATTGTCTCTGCTCTTCCCTTTCTTCTCTTAATTGGGAAGATATGATTCCTCGGACTTGGTTGGGAGTTGGGAGAGACAGAAATAACGTCAATTTCCATAATTAAAATGCAGCTAGAGTTTAAAATTAATGTGCACACGCAAACTTTGGTACTTAAAATATGCAAACGATATTTTTGTTTCTCTGAGGTACACAAACTATTATATCGGCAAATAGTTTTCGTTTTATACAATAATATAAATTATGAAACCCCAAAACCCTGATGCTCATATATTACGGCCGGTTTCAAACGTACATAATCCTCAAGACCTCAAACCATAGTCCTCTATACTTATATCCATAAGAAACAGTTAACATGTCCTTATAGCGGCGGGAAGATTTTGATAAATTAAATTTACAAATCCGAAACAGCATGCTCTCATGCAAAGATACTCTTTTTCCACCATAATATCACTAAAAAGTGTAAAAACCCTCCCTGTCACAAGTTGGTTAGAGTAAGTTAATTGTTTTTCTTTTTTTTTAGGGAAGTTAATAGTTTTTCAAAACATTAGATACACTATTAGTTTTACATTAAAAGGGAATGGTGATTACTTTATTGTTTTAGAAACAATGGCCTCCTTTCAAAAACAAAACAAAAAAACAAAACAAAAACAAAAAAGCAAAATAATGGCAACGACAATGTTAGGTCTTGATTTTTAATTATTATAAATTAATTGCAAAACTCAGCAATCTGATTTATAACCAAAATTTATTTATGTTGGACCAGTTTTTTCTTTTTTCTTTTTTTCCCTATTGATGATTACTAATTATTTCAGTAACTTCTTTTTTTTTCGAGTTATAAATCTTAATATTTGGATAAAGGTTTATACCTTTTTCTAAAAGGGAGCGTAAAGGAGAACAAAAATTAACATGGTAAAAGAAATGAAACAATATTTCACATGCATTATTCAATATGCATGTAATGATGAAATTAAGAGACAAGTCTAACCTCTTTACAGCACATACCATACTCAAAGAATCTCCAGGCAACGATGAAAAATCTTATGGTGACAATCCTCGTATTGTTGTGGAAAATGCCTGCAACTAATATGGGCTCTCTTATCACATACTTCTACTTTTAGTAGCCGAAATGGTTGCCACTTTTCACTAATTAATCTTTTTGGTTTGTTTTGTGGGGATTCCTGCAATTGAAACGGCTGGAATTCTTCACCAATTTTGGAGCCGTGGGTAAGTAGAGATGAAGAAGATATTTGGGAGATGGAAATGAAGAGTTATTTGGAGGGAAATCAATGTGCTTAACAGCTTGGATCACGAGCATACTTGATATGATTGTCACCAAAATAATTCCTCTTAACTCGCTCCTAGACATGGTTTCTAGCTCTGTTTTTGCGCAGAGCTATGATTGAGATTTAGCATTTATCTACAGAATTTGTTTCAAAGTAGATTTATATATACGTATACATAGCGTATCTATTATATACGTCACATCAAAAACAAATAAGCTTACAGAGGTATATTTGTGCAGATCAGACAAACAAGCCTAAAAGATTTTCTCAAGGAGAGAGAGAGAGAGATGGAGATAGAATTTTTTTATAAAAAAAGGAAAGAAAACTACTGGCAGTGCTACTTAGTACTTGCTCCATTTGTTTGAAATGAGAACGCGTTACATTGCTTTTTGGTTCTAGTTGAGACAGTTACAGAGGACGTCAACGTTCATTGAGAACTGTAAGAGATAAATATACTTCAAAAAATAATTGATAATTTAGTTTCCAATTAGTTTTTTTGAAAAGTTCAACCTTCATAATGACTATCTCCAATCACAATGATTTGTATTGCTCAATCAGATGAGAAGCATGGAGCCGTGATGTAGGGACCACAGTGCAACCCAAACTCTGCAGATAAGATATCTGGTCATCAACACCAAAAAAACAGCATTAGTCTCTCGACCATTACAGAACCGCATACGGCACAATATTTCTATGCATTAAAGAATTAATGTCCAAATACTTCTATGCATTCACTTAACTGGAAGCACAAATTTCTCTCATCAGTAATACAATAGTAATAAATATAAGGGAATTTCTCTGGTGCTTTCTTTTTTGCGAACACCGGTGTTCTCTCCTTATCAACTGTCGGATCTGTAGTACTTTTTCAATTTGATTTGACTTTTGACTAGATTTAATACAAACTGACGGCTGATAGGCAGAGAACACCAGAGAAAGTCCCTAAAAATAACAATAAAAAGACTATATGAAGAACTTATTTATCTTTGAAAAAGACTATATTCAACCATATCCAAGTTAAAACTACTATAATTTGTAAAAGTAGTAAGACAATGATCACAACTATAGACCCCTTACATTAAGGTTACTAAGTACAAACCAGAGAAAAAGTTAGACATGACTACAGAAACCAATAAATGCTATTCGTAAAGGTAAGTTCGGAACAGAACGCCAATAAGCAAAGAAAAAATTTGAAGCAAAACTCGATTAGGAAGCTGACAGATTCTATAAGCTATGAAAGGAAAGAAGTTTAGTAGTAATTACATAACTCGAGAATTCCTACGTAAAATAATGCATGTAGAAATTACTCAATTGGTATAAGAAAATCCTCCTAATACGTCGCTGAAAAATATAACAAAACAAAAGAATATCTGAAGGGCAATTCCATCCATCAATGAAGAACCTACTAAATCAATTATCATCACCTGTTTGGCTGTTGGTGCTGATAAACCCATTGAGTTCTCAATCCTTAATTTCTGGAAATGCTCCTGTGGGAAAGAATTGAGCGTGGACTACTTAGAAAGCAAGCAAACATAACTTCTGGAGCAAAATTCGTTGAAATCAGAAAGTGGACCATATAGCTTTCTATCCACATAATTTAAACAAAGATCAAATATATGCGCATGACAAACTCTTCTTTGGGAAGAGTTGGCAACAGCCAACAAGTAAGAATAGCTTTCCAAGTGCCTATAAACTTAAAAATACCTTAACTAATTATGAATATTTTTCAAAATTATAAGCCACTCAATATAGGAAAATCTAATCTAATGCTCGGTAGAATCTGAAACTCGTTTTTGGAAAATTCTACAGGTGCTAGAACTAGCAGAAAGCGTGAACAAATCAAATACTTTCACAAATATTAGCAAAGTATGATGAAACAGACCTGCTTTTCCCGCATTAAATGGGCACGCTTTTCAGCAGGGATTTTTTCCCATCTTAAAACCTGTAAGAGATTTTACATGAATAAACAGTTGGAATAGAAAAGTATTAAATTAAACACATATTGGCTATAGCTAAAAATTCATTGTAATTATACTTAGCGTCACAATATGATTAGTAACTGTCTACTAAAATATCTGTCATACCTAAAGTTGGATTCTTTATTGTCATATTTCAGATAACAAGCGTCTACAAATCCAAACAAACAATTACAAATATACTTACATACTCCGCAAATTGAAATGCATCCTCGCATTTAAGGCGCAACTTCAACGTGCGTAAAACGTCCTGAGAAGTAACAAAGGCGTCATGATATGGAGAAGACGTAACTAAAAACTGAACATACGAACTTTGACGTGAAATCTTCTACTATGTTTCGGGTACAAAAATACAAGTGAATTTAATAAGACCTTTTTTTCTCAAGTAAAGTGTAAGTCTTGGCACCAAACCGGAGAAGGGCATAGAACCTCGAAAGGTTACTTAGGACCCAGAGATTTATTCAACTGTCGGGACTCAGAACAATGTTTCACAAAGACGCGCCTCCAGGCTAGTAAAGGACCCCCGAACAAGGAAACCACCATCTTATAAACGACAATAACCTTAACACTCACCTAGATACATCCACGTCTAAAAACGACAACTAAAATGTTACGGAAAAAAAAGAAACTAGTTTATATAAACAACATATCCTACCAAATGACCAACAGTTACATTTGAAAAATGCCAATAGAGCAGATAAACGACAAAACTTAAACAAACGACAGAAATTAGTAAAAACGATAATAACGTACAAAGCTAAGCCAACCTAAACATCGTAGAAAACGACAATTAACGAAAACAACAATGATTGTAAAATGACGAGCAACTTTACAAACGGCGACAATCTACAAAAGATTAAACATTTGAAAAGGAGTTAACGACGCCTTTCCTACAAATTACAATAAATCAGAAACGGCAACAACAAACGAAATCTCAGAAACGGCAACAACAAACAAAATCTCAGAAACGACAATAACCTCATAACGACCACAGCTATAAAAAGCAACATCCACTTCTAAAAACAACAACAAACCAGAACCGGAGTATATAAACCGGCCGTCTCCTATTCAACAAGCGGTAGCACCTTTCGAAAAATGACAACATAGCCAAAAAAAGGACGAGAAATTGGAGACACGACAGCGATTTTGGGGAAAAATTAACATGCAAGATAACAACTTAGGACGACAATAAAATGAAAACGACAGTGATTGCAACAAACGACAATTTTATAGAAAACGACAAGAAAATGAAGAACGCTCACCTTATAAAAAGACTATGCCTAAACCAACTGCAAAATACAGCTTTTGATTTTGACAACTATTTAGAAACTGCCAACAAATTATCAAAAAAAAAAAAAAAAAAAAAAAAAAAAAAAAAAAAAAAAAAAAAAAAAAAAGAAACTGCCAACATCAAATAAACTAAATCAATTCAGAAAACGACAAAAAAGCGACGGGTTTATAAAAAGATTTTAACTTATAAAGACAGCAAGATAAAACGACATCCTTGCATACAGTAAAAAAGACTTAATAAAGCAACAATTTAGAAAAAACGACAACTTTTAGAACGGAAGCAGTTTACAAAAAGATTATATTCTAAAAGCATTTGGAAAAGGACAGGCTTTGCTGCATGTTACGACTAAGAAACCGCAACCAAAAAAAGTTCTTAAAAACGACAGTAGCCCAAAAACGACATAAATACTGAAAAATCAGCATATACGACAAACATACACTCAGGAAAACGACCATGTATAAGGTAAACAACTAAATCTTAACTGTTGTACGACCTTTTGTTTGTTGTTCTTGACTCGTAGGCGCTCATCAATTACAAAGCCAACCTGTAATTTATAGAAGAAAAGATTGAAGTGGTCAAAAGAACGAAGCATCATATAAATGGGACCTATTTCAACATCAAGAACAAAACTTCACCTTATCAAGCAATCTCTTAGGATCTTGAAATGCTTGTTTCTTAGCCCACTTATGAAATACATGGGATACAATTGATCTCTCTTCAACATTGAATCTGTATTGATAAAGACGTTTTTTTAATTTTTTTTTTAAGTAAAAAGATCATCTTGATATTAACTATAAACAAATGTGTAAAAGCTACTATAACATTCTTCAATCCATCAGACTTTCGGAATACCTTTTCAAGAAACTATTTCCATTGCTTTCTTCCATGGATTCTACGTCCTCGATTTGACCATCATTCACTTTGTTTTGGACAAAGCCATCTGGAATTCTATCTGCTTCAGAACTTTGCATTCGACTAGGTTGATCAACTCTAATCTTGCTTGCACCTTTTACACAGTCATGATCCTTTTCTTGTAGCTCTATGCTTAGTTCACCCTACAAAAACAATCCCAAGAATTCACAGTAAAAAACAGGAATGATATAAATTCTAACCTATGGCACCCAGCTCAAGTTTCTGGCCCTAGTAATACAAGGATATAGGAATAAGAAAAGGACACACACCTGAACCTCACAAAGATGTTCTGGAATTTCTTTGAGAAATCGTGAAGGTCGAAGTATCTAAGAGAGACCATCTTCAGTCGCACAGCAACAATAGTAGAATATATCATAATGTAGGACACTTATTCAAGTCATAAATACCTGAAAATTGGAGTCCATTGAAACATACAGAATAAAGAGCACCTTCCGGGCACGTGTCATTGCAACATAAAACAAGCGACGTTCCTCCTGCAACATTTCAATAAGAAAGGAGTTTGAATATGACATTTAAATAACTCTTTGCAGGAGATAGATATAGAATGAACATTTCTCTAAACAAACTCACCTCAACTGAGGACCCGTTTTCCTTTGCCACGCCATTGAATTCATGCAGCAAAGGAATCTCAGATTCGTTTGCCTGTAATTGACGATACATAAATACAGGGCATAATTAAATCAATCAAAATGTATATCTTTCATGTATGACAACATACCTTAACTATGAAAACAATGTCCCATTCCAAACCTTTTGACTGCATGGTTAAAACAAGATATGAGATACTCAAGTAGGTAAATTGGTTAAGCCAAAGAATGCCAATATTACACTTAAAATATCTAAACAGAAGAAACGAAAATAACCTGATGGATGGTAGTCAACGTGATCGAATTTTCATTATTCTCTCTTCGGGAACGAAAGTTTTCTCTCTCCCGCTCAAATATATGGTCTATAAAAGCTCCGAGTAAGTTGAGACAGCCGTTTTCTTTCACTTCTTCTTTTGCCCCTTCTGCCGCAACAGATTTGGTTGATATGAATTCAGACACATCATCTAGAAGGTACTGAAGAACCTGCACTCATAGAAAATAACATTACAACGATAGATGCAACAAGATTAAGGTTTTTTTTTTTTTTTTTTTTTAAAAAAGCAAATTTGAAACTTTAAGGCGTGGGAAAAAAGAAGCCCTCATAATTTGGCATAAAACTATATATTAATTTTACAAATTAGGAACTTAGTTCTAATTTTTTATTTTAGTTTTGAAAGAAAAACTCTAATAAGACTATTTTATCATAATGTTCAATCAACTTGGACTTGTCTCGCTTCTCGTTTATATGTCCGAATAAGTATATTTCTGAGAGAAACCTATTTAAAATGTTATGACTGAACAGACAAAGGTCTAAGATTTTTAGGTTCCAAACTCACGGATCTGATGTCGTTCTCTTCATTCAGATATTTTCCTCCATCCACATCAATGACTGCCCGCTGCTCAAGGAGGTATCTCTGAAAAATCAGTGAATTGTCAAAACTCGATAGAATAAACATCAAGGCAAAGACAAATACTTTGCACTTACAAAATATTAATCAAGGAAAGAGTAAATAAGACAAACCTGAGGTACCAAGTTTGCCACTGAGATAATGACAGCTGAAATTGATTGTTCCTGTAGCATTAATATAAGCAAGATTGCTAAAGAATTTCGTGGATATAACAAGAAAAAATAAATTCTAACAAGCAATAACTCTGAAAGAGTCGAGAAAAACATATCCAGGTTTAAACTTAATCTCTAGAGATACACAAGGATTGAGAGGCCACATGGATATACATGTTAAAAAAATTATGCTCTGAGAAAGACGCTTCCTTTCACTTATTCTTGCTAGGAAGGGTTCTACGTTCTCAATTAAAATCCAAAACCAACGCTTGGTGCCATTAAGAAACATCAAGTTTATAGCTCTTAATAGCCCATTTGTTTCATATACTCAAACTCAAATCATTAATTCTATTACAGTGTCTACCTCTCACAAAAAAATTAAATTTTAAATGTCAAAATCAAGAATCATGGTTTGAGTGTACCTTCCAAACGAGCCCTAAGTCAAAAAAGCTTACCCTGTGAACTAGCTTTGAAATCATCTCTAGCATTGACAGCACCTTGCGCCCTTGGGTGAGTTGGCTTCTATTATCATGCAAGAACCATAATCAGTATACAAAAAAATAGATTAAAAAAAAGGATCTTATAGATACCAAAACAAAACAAAATGAATACACGTTGGCTACTGCAATATAATTGATAATACATTTAACTACAATTTGGGTAGCACTGCTTCACAGTGTAATTGGTTAACTTTGTTATGATGAATAAACCGAAAGACATCTACATGGACAATAATCAAAAGAACATTTTGTCATACATAACCTTTTAAAGGTACCGGAAATTTTTGCACTGAAGATGTCGCAAGCGGCTGAAATGAAGCTGCATTTTCTAACTGTAGAAATCTTGTCAATATGCTCAATTACCTGAGAGACAGATTTATATATCTTAGCATGACATTAGATGTATATCTATGGTACACGAGTGAAACCAAACTTATAAAAGAGAGAGAAAGAGAGAGAGAGAACAAATTTCACACAACCTCAAAACTAACAATAGTATTACTAACAACAACAAAAAAAACTGAACTAGTACCCTCTTCTTTTCCTCTTTCTCAAAAGGAAGAAGAGCCTTGAAAACTCGACGATACGGTCCATCGTCACAACTTGGCAATGCAATTCTAAGCATAGAAATAATGGCTCTGACTACCTATCAGAAAAGCGATACATGAGCAAAAAATAAGTAAGCTAGCTTCAGGGGCACGCACGGAACATAGAATCAAAGATATGAAGGAAGAAAGAACACTACTCTAATGAAGAGAATAAATAAAAAGGAAGCACCTTTTTTCTATAAAATGCCACACCATGAGTGTTAAATGGTATTTTCCTTTCTCGGAAGGCTGTTTGGAAGACTTTCCCTGATACCTGTTGTGCAGGGGAAAAAATAAAGTTGAATATCTTAGCAAGTATCTAAAAATTTATGTCATTCATGTTGTTCCGGTTAATGCTACAACAAGCAAGCTCGACCTGCCGCCGGTAAAGAATTGCTATCTTCCCATAGGAGCACTTTGCAGCTGAACTAATAGCAGCAGTTTCAAGAATCTTGTCAATAACAAAAGCACACTGCACATCCTCACTGTGACATTCTTTGATGATAATCTGTGTCAAGGACAACAGTTGTAGAAGTATCAGTTACTGATAACAATAGAGAAAATCGCGTGAACGTTTGTACTTTGCTCATAAGAAGATAAAAAACCTTTGATCCAATTGAATTATCGGTGTCAACATTCTTTAATCGACATCGCTTCATATTATTTTGTATGACAGAAGATGCAGCTTCAACTATAAAGCGAGTGGACCGATAGTTTTTGTTTAGTCTGACCTGCATCACAGAGGAATGTGAAATATTCAAAACTCTACTCTATTAAAAAGTTTTAAAAAATAAATAAATAAATCAAATCAACATTAAGAAATATCCAATCTAATAAGTTTACGATTTAGGAGTATATTGTGTATTCAAGCCTGAATAAACATTATTGAGAGTGACAGACCAGTAACATATTGAGAGTGACAGACCAGTAACTCCAGTTAGTTAGACAGTTAGTCTAGTGTTGCATGTGTAAAAACATAATTACTTGTTAGTAATACCAATTCATCATATCCTCTCACAAATGATCTTTTAATCTTTCTTTCCTCTCTGAGTTAGGACATAAAAGCAGCAGTTAAGGACAAAGCAAACCTCTTTGTAAGTTGGAAAATCCTTGCGAAATGAATCAAATCCAGAAATATCAGCTCCATTGAAACTGAAAATGGACTGCAGGGACATATTGACTAATCAACTTTAAAATAACTTGAAAGCACAATCGAAATGACCGAAACAGCCACTATGGAAAAACTCGTAATTAGTTGATACGATTCCTTACGTAGAACTTAAATAACAGAAATCATACCTGGTCGTCATCACCAACAATAGTTATGCGGTTATGGGATGCAAGAACTTTCAGAAGACTGTATTGCATGGCACTTGTGTCTTGAAACTCATCAATTACTATGGCTTTCCAGGTATCCTGGCTCTCCTTGAAGACTTATTATTCAAAGAAGAAAACAACAGTCAAAATTTAACCGAGGGTTCACCAATTAAATGATAATCAAAGGAAATAAACCTTCAGAATGTTCGGTAAGCAGCTTCACAGAACAGCTAATTAAGTCGTGGTAGTCCAATGCATTACAAGTTCTCAAGATATCATTGTAGTTTTCAAGAATCGCAGACTGTTTCAGTGGCATAGTTAACAACAATCCCAAGAAAGAATAAAAGCAAAAGTACCAGAAAAAATATATATGAAACAAATAGGTATCAGCTTACTCCGGATTCATCACCCATTTTACTGCAGTCTGCAGGAATATTCCCAGAGGCTTTAGCCTGAAACATAATTGCTGGATTGGGATAAGAGATACACGTAAACCTGAAGTTACCTCATCAATAAGCAATAAGACCACATTAAAGAGAAACAAGTATAGAATCCTAACTCCTAAGACCATGTATTTTTAGCTAAAACAAGGCCTTAATCTATCCGATGGTATAATTCAAATAAATGTACAAAATATGATCAACTAACCAGCAAAAGCCAAAACAAATAAATAAATAAATAAATAACAAATCTGATAAATTACTAACCCGAGTCACAAACTGCTGCCATTTCTTTGACATATCCTTAAAATACTGTGGGGAAGTTATACCATTAGACTCTTCACCAAACACCCGAGAGTCAAGCTTGTTATTACTCCTTCCATTTTCAAATAACCTCACTGCCTCTATGACTGCTCTTCTCTGCTGTTCATGTCCATATATTAAGAACTCTGATGTCCGCCCAAGTCTAGAATATAATCCATAGTGGAAGGTTGGTAAACAAAGTGACAGAAAATAAGAAGAAAAAACCCATGTGCAACGCTGGTAAACATTAAATATGTAGCATACTTTTCTGCATGCAATCGACAAAGCTGCAAGGAAAATGAATGAAACGTGCTGATTGTGAGCTCTTTAGCAATAGCTTTCCCAGCCACCTTTCCTATACGCTCTCTCATCTCAGAAGCTGCCGCCGTAGTAAAAGTCATAGCCAGAATATTTGACGGGCTAATGTTCTGAAACGTTTCAAACAATAAAAAAGAGATCCCAAGTTCCCAACTTATACATATAAGTCTGTGTGTGTGTGTGAATATATAACAGCTCAAAATTCTTCAAAAGAAATAATGGCAATACCTCATGAAGCAGCATGAGAACTCTTCCTACCATTGTTGAAGTCTGACATTGCAATGAAAAATCAAAATTAAGACTAAAACACAAATAAAAGTGAAACCAAAAACAAAAAAAAGTAAAACAGACCGAAACAGATAAAGAAAGAGAAGACCTTTCCACTTCCTGGGCCAGCAACAATCATCAGAGGCCTGGAAATATGACAACAAGCAGCTTCACGTTGCCTGTCATTTAGAGAAAGCGTGTATTTGGAAAACTCTTCAGGCATTTTCCCAATTGTTATACCCTGTGAATTATCCAAATCCTCGGTTCTACATTCCACATCGTTTCCAAGTCCCAGTATGCCTCCACTTGGCAAAGTCTCTGAACTGCTAAAAAGAACATCATCGCCATTACAATTATTACGTTGACCTTCAACACTGGAGTTGCTACTTGGCGCAGGCCTTTCTGCTTTTTCCATGGATTTCTGCGCACACAAAGCATCGATTTCTTCGAAAATGGACTCGTCAAAATCATCATCGTCATCTATAGTGCTAGGAACTGCGAAAGAACCGGATAGTCTAGAATGTTCCGGATGCTTGATAGGGGTTTTAAAGGAATCCAATACACGTCCATTCTCTACAGGAACATCTGCAATCCGATCACCACTAAGGCTCTTGCAGAATTGTTCACGGCCTAACGGAGAATTGTACCTAGTAGTAAATGGAGACAGCGTATTCAACGGAATCTCCGAAAGAGGAACTCTCTTTACTCCCGAAACCCTAGCTGGAGTCTCGATTCCATTTTCATCGGGAACTCTGCAGCCACAAAATCATCAAATAAAATTAAAAACAAAAACGATAAATGAGATATTTGTATTCCTCCAATCAGATACTGAAACCCTTAAAATTCCATGAAAGAAGTGACTGATGATATCGGAAGATGAATCTTGATTGAGCGAGAGTTAAGAAAGGAGGAGTTTTTACTTGTTGAGGAGGAAGGGAGAGGGGCCAGACGAAACGACGTCGTCGCGAGGGCGTTTGCGAGCGAGAAGGGCCTTGGCAGCTCTGAAATTGAGGGAAATGCGGGCTCTTTGCTCCGCCGTGATCTCGCCGGTGAGCATTTGAGGCGTGATTTGGTGATTCTGTTCCGGCGACATTTTCGGAGAGGAAAAGAGCTTTCCCTACCCTACTCATGACCGGGAAATCTGGTTCTTCCCTCGCAAGTTTGAAGCGCCGCAACATTTAAAATAAGGGAAATATGAAAAGGTTAATAAAGTATATAGGTTAATTTTTAGTTATAGAAATTAATAAGTTATAACTTGTTAAATTATAGTTTATAATTAAATAAATTGTGGATAAATTTATCAAGTTATAATTTATAGCCAGACAAGTTATGGACAATTATGGATAATAATTTGTCAAGTTATGATTTATAACCAGACTAGTTATGAACGAAAACAGAAATTTGGCCTATTTATTTAACTTATGTAAACTATTGACATATTAATTTTAATTCATCTCAAGCCTTGACTTATTTTCCTTTTTTTTTTCTTAAAATAATGGGCCTTTGGGAGGGCTTTCCCTCTAAATAGGGCCCAACTCAGTCTCTGACCCGACTCGTGTCACCAAAGGAAAAGAAGAAACAAATACTTTTTAAAGGGTATTTATTTACACAATTAAAGTTATATTGTTACAGTTTTTTTTTTACATAAATTTAAATTTAATTTTTTTGTTACAATATTTTTCTCTCACATACACAATTCAAGTCGTAAAATGAACACACTATAAAAGTGCATGAGTCGAAATTTCTACCTCTTACACTTAATTAATAATCTTTTTAGTTAAATAACTATACTAGTAAAAATGTATTAATCAATGAGGGATAAAAATTCAGATTTATGCACTCTTAATGGTAAATTCTGCAATTTTCTCTAAAAGAAAATTAGGTTTATAATTCGGATTTTTGCACGTTTTATTTACCTTTGAAGAAAAGGTGACCCCCTAGAATGCATGGGTGTTAAATTTTCATCTTTTAATTTTAATTAATAACCTTTAGTCAAAAACTATATTAGTTAAAAAGGTATTAATCAATAATAAGGATAAAAATCTTAAAACAATATATTCAAATTGTGAGTTCACTAATTTTCTCTTACGTGCAACTTGTTCATTTGTGTGGTAGTAGAGGGAAAAAAATAAAAATATAAAACAAACTTGTTCATTTGGGTTGCATAAATTTAAAACTCCATTATTCATAAAATTAAATTAGTGTTTTTCAAAATTTCTCCAACTTCTATGTGCCAAAAAAAAGTACTAAATAAAAAGGCCAAGATAATTATACGGTATCATTTCGAATTATCTCCTATAAAACAAAAGAGATAACGCAACATATGAAATGTCAACTAAAGCTTCAAGGTTACCTCCAGTACATCACTGGACTTCCAATCCTAAAACTTCCTCTTCTTACCAGTTTCATCATGGGTTTTCTCAGTGGTGGTAATAGTGTGTGGTGTTATGGCGCTCCATTTGGACAAATCGGACTAGTGTTGGTAGTTGGCTGTCCATTACTTGAACTGCACGACACTTTCATCGTATGTTAGTTGAGTGCTTGGAGTTTTGTTTTCACTTCATGTTTTTATTTAAAAAATATATATTATTTTTTTCATGCGCAATGGTGTTGTATTATGGTGTCAATAGTGATAGCGCGTGAGGGGCCAAATGCTTTTATTTGGCAACACCTCTTCGACTTCACCGTGTTGTCTTGAAAGTCCCTCAACGGTTCCTTCATCAGCTTTTCCTCCGAAGGCTTTTGACAACAATACTCGGCATTTATCTTTTCGTTTTCATGTATGTTTGGGTTCATAATAATTGTGGCTTTCTCACATTTTGTTCATGTGTTTGTTTTGTTTCCTAGAATTAATTTTTTATTTTCAATCCACTTATTTGTGTCTTAACAAGGTTTTGTTGGTCTTAGTGCTATGGACCTCTCGATTGTGATGAATCAAATTTATTCATTTATTGAAGAAATTTTATCGAATAGTCATGTGTGTGCTCGATTTTTAGTGTACCTCATTAAGTATATGCTTTTAAAACACGGTATACACATTTTTTCTTTAAGCGTTTATAGAGGTGTCAAAAGGGTTGTGCCAGGCCAACGCAACCCTTCTGACCCCTGGCCTATGATGGGCTTGCACGGCCCTCTAAAATACATGGTTGGGGCTAGGTTTGAGGACAAACCCTCAGGCCTAGCCTTGACCTTTGTCATTTAGGGCCGAGGCCAATAGGGCCTTCATATGGGCCGGTAGTAGGCCGGCCTAGTGACCCATTTTAAAATTTAATTTTTTATATTTTTAGATTTAATGACAAAAAAATAAATAATATCATATGCCATAAAAAGACATAATTTTATTAAAATAATACGAATAATTACAATAAAATGATTGCCGCGAAGGAAAAAGAATAAAGTTCATATAAAATATAGAGATAATTAAATTACACTATGATCGAATTATTTCACAGGTCTGGGTCGTGCCTGAACCCTTTACGGGCTAGTATCGTGCCCGTGTTGCGGGCTTCATAAATGAGACCCAACTCTAGCTCTTCTAGCGTGCCGGACCAACTCAGCCGCAACAATACATGGTTGAGCCAGACTAAATCTTGTAACGTAGTATCTGACCAAATTAACACCTCTACATTTTACTAGAAAATGATGTTTGTATTTCCTTAATTTGAAATAGGTCATCTCAATTTATTTATTTATTTTTTTTTTAAAAAAAGTGACGAAAAATGATAAAGTCCAAAGGTAAAGTGGCAAAATAGTTCAAGGGTAGAGTAGCACGAAGAACAAAGTTAAAGGGTGAAAAGAGTAATCTAATAAAAGTGAAAAAGTAAAATTAAGAAAATGACTTTTTAATTTTAATTTTATTTATTCTCAATTTATTCCATGAAAAACAAATGGTACAAAATGTCATGGCATGTCACAGTATCATATGTGATACTAGACTATCTCTAATATAAATATTAAGACTAATTATATATTTAATATAAAAAATATAATATATTATGTTATTTTTATTTTTATTTTAATGCATAATACTATTTAAAATGTTAATTTTTTTTCATAATCATTAAACTTTAAAAGTTATAAACGTAAACTTTTATTTTAAAAAAATTAAAAAATTCAAAAGTTACAATAATTATATAAAAGTGAACATTTCAACCAATATTAATTAAATATTAAATTTTTTATATGTGAGAAATTTATTAAAATATGTCAATCCTTTACCTCTTTGAGGTGATTCATCAACCAACATAGTAGGGATTAACATCAAGTGAGTTGGGTGAGTTTTTGAGATTTTTTAACCAGCCTAATAAAGTTTAAGTGTGTTGATTCAATTTTAACCCAACAAATCAACCCAAAGTTTAAAATGAGCATAAATAATTAAAATTTAAATGGATTGATTAGGTTGAACATAATAAAAAAATAAATCAAACTAATTATTCAATCCAAAATAAAAAATATAAAAAACTAACTTTCACCATAATATTAATCTTATAAAACTTCAAAATTATCTCATAAATTATAAACCAATATAAAAATATAATATATGCAAAACAAATTAAAATATATAAGTATAAACCAACAAATAAACAATAATAAAAACATGAAACAAAATAAATTATCAAATAATTAATAAAATATAAGACAAATATTATATATTATGAGATAGAAAGATATTTATTTATATATATAATTTATTGAGTGAGTTCCAGTTAAATTAAATTAAGAAAGCCCACTAATTAATAGTTGTGTGTGTGGGTTGATCTTTTAATCGGCTGGTCAGTTTCGAGTTCTAATGAGTTGGGTAGAGTTAATTAATTGAGGGACCGTTTAGTTCACTGATTTAAATTTTTAATTCGAGTTGAGATGTGATTTTATGTAAAAACTTTTTACTGTAACAAAAAAATTAGATGTGATTGTTTGTGAAAACTTTTTACTGTAACAAAACTCGAATCAACAAAATGAACGGAACCTAAGTTCGTGAGGTTGTTGAGTTTTTTTTTTTTTTTTTCACTCCTACAACAGAGATTTCCCGTATCAAAACCTAACGGAAGACCTCATTTCAACCCTTCTATAAGCTTTCCGGATCACAGAAGAATGAGCCAGGAAGAAAAGGTGGAGTTATTGCTCATTGGTGGCTTGTGCTGTGAAAGTGTTTGGAGAGCTCCGAACAAAAGGATGCATGAAGTTCTGTCCGTAGTTTCAGAGCATCTTACGAGAAATAAATAAAGAATCCATTCATTTTATAAATTTCAATTTAAAATTTAAAATTTGTTACACCTACAATCACATATAATTTTTCCTTCTCAACTCAAACTAGACCAAGTCCCCAACCACAATGAGAGAACCGTCGTATGTTTTTTATCAGTTGATTGTATAGTTCCGTTAAACATCATATGCTTTCCTTCTATTCTCAATTGTTGATTCCGATCAGTACAATTTCACTTTCTACATAAACTTAGCACTTTCCCCTTTTTTTAATCTGTTTGATATAATTCCATATTGCAAATTTGTAAGTTTGCTCATGTCACAGGCCAAACAAGAATAAAACTGGTTCTAGTAGTTGCTCCAAAAACATCCATAAATAAATATCATCATCAGAATGGAATGTTCTTCTCATCCACAGCAAGTAAATGCTGTGTAGGAAGGTGTCCTAAGATTTTTTCCGAATTTCATCATATGATGATGTACAGTGCAATAAAATGCGAAACAAAATAATTAAAAAAAATTTGTAATGTAAAGCAATGATCTAAATTTAAAAAACCATCTTTGGTTGTTGTACCAGAAAAAAATCAACTAACTATGCAATTTAAAACATAACTTTCAGTACCAAAAACCATTGTACATTGAAATGCACAAGAATATCAATTAAAAAACCAACAAAGATTAATACCAACATCGAAAAGATCGTAATTACGCAACACAAGCAGATTCAGAGGCAAATCATTTGGCATCAATCGATACAGTTGTATCTCAGATCAAGTGTTGGATTATATATATTGCTTCATCCCCATCAGCGAACCCAAAATCAAAATTCTCAAGTAATAACAAACGAAAAAAAAAACATAAAACAAATACACTTTGTAAAAGCTAAAAACCAGAATTGGGAAATTATGAGTTTACTCAGTGGTGGCAATTTAAGGTTTTAGGTTCGATTCTGCCAGCGATTTTCCTCAACCTTAATCAGAAGAGGGAGCTTAAATATCATCATCGCAATCATCATATTTCCCACAATCCAAGCAAATAAAAAAATCAAATAGAAATTAAATTAATTGAAAAAAATATTGAGAAACACTAAAAAAGAAGAAAACAAACAAGAAAAAAAATGAGGAGAAAGAGAGAGATCGCTCAGTTCAGCGGGGTTGTCGACACGCAAAGTTCTCAGTGAAGAGAAGCCTGCATTCCGGTCTGTTGAGCTTGAATTTTATGGAGTCATCACTGCGATCTCTCGGTCTCTCTCCACTTTTTAATGGATAACAGAGAGAAAGAAGAGAAGCTGAAGAAACAACGACAAAAAGAAATTGGAGGAGAGAAATGGAGGCTAAACCCTAGAATCCTATATATGTCATTTTGTGGGGCTTCTCTAAGACCAAATCGTCGGCCACGGATTTATAGCAAACGATGCTAGGGTTTTCTCAATTCGGGCACCCAAAAAGACTACTGGTAGGATTCGGGTATTCGTATAACCCGGCCCAGACCGGCCCAATATGCCGCGAAATGATGGAAATTAGTGAGAGGGGAAAAATTAGCAACAAAATATTTCAACCCAAAATAGAAAGAAAAAAAAAAAAAAAAAAAGAAACACAGTAAAAAATCTACTTCTGTTTCTTGAAAGGCCTCAGATCAATAGTCGTTTACATTTACCCAAAAGCGGATAATCAAGCAATGTAGGCAAAATATGGTTGAATCATCAGTGGCCTATGATGCGCCTAAAATGGAAAAGAAAAAAAAAATGTATGCAAACTTTTAAGAGCAGAAATATTACTATAGAATGGACAAGGAAAAATGTGCCAAAAAGAAGAAGAAGCGACAGATAGATTGATAAGCTAGGGAATTGACCAACCCAATCGTTGGGTCTGCTAAGCTTTTGAGATCGTCCTCTATTATATAAGACGAGGTGAGGCCTTTCAGGGAGGGAAAATAAAAAGTAAAAGCGCGAAATTGCGAAACAGGTACGGATTCGCGCCGATTTTTTTCTTTTTTTTTTTTTCCTCTTCTTTTAAAGGAATTTTTAAGGGGTAATCTAATAACGACATAGTATCTGTAATCTTTATGATGTCGTTTTCTGATAATGAGTCAAAAAACTTCCTCCAAAAAAGAAGTATGGTTTTTGTTCTGATGAAGTATTCCGTTCACTTCGCTGATTCGAGTTTGTAATTCGAGTTGAGATGTGATTTTATGTGAGAGTTTTTTACTGTAAGAAAAAAATTAGATGTGATTGTTTGTGAGAGTTTTTTACTGTAGCAAAACTCGAATTGATGAAGTGAACGGGGCATAAATTTATTACAACGTGTCTTTTATCCTGATCAAACGAGACAGGAATAAGTTGGAAAAAACAAACGGCAAGTTGTTTATATGAATACGATGCTTATTTTCACCTATAGACAAGTAAAATAATATATTACTTATAAGTGATTTTTTTTTTGAGAAAAATTTATTAGTGAAAATTGATACTATGAGAACGAAGCACGAGTAATTGAGTTTGGGAAACATAAAAAAAAAAAAAAATGATTTTCACTTTAATCCTACTATAATTAGCAAAAATTAACGTGTAATTTAACCCTAAGTATTTAAGTTGGACGTCGAGGGAAATTACGGACACAATTAAAAGATACCTTGAAAGACATATGCAAAATATAACGCTTTCGTTCATTTCACTGATTTGAGTTTTTAGTTTTAAGTTTTTACAGTAAAAAACTCTCAGAAAATATCACATTTAACTTTTTCTGTTATAATAAAAAATTCTCAAAAAATATCACATCTCAATTCGAATTGAAAACTCGAATTTACAAAGTGACCACGTCCATTTGTCTCTTGATGCAAAACACGCATTTCTCCAAAAACAACAGTGACTGGAAACCATAAGAAATTGTTCATTCTAGTTGGTGATATATGCTTGGAACTTTCGTGGAAACTTGGAAAAACTTCTTTTTCTTTAAATTCTTAGATTTTGGCAAGAAGAGGGGAAAAAAATCTTAAGTAAGCAGATATTGTCCTTGTAAATATCAAAATTATCCAAAAAATATATATATGAATTTTTCGTTAGGTTCCAACTTCCAACCAGGCCACCTCCACTAAAATTCTCTCCCAATTTTCAAATACAATAATACGAAGAAAAAGAAATTCCGATCACTACGGTGGCGCCACGTGGCAATCCGCCATTTCCCTCCAATATTATAACTTCTTTGACACGGTGCCACACGCACTAAGACAAAGCCCCCCTTTCTCTCTCTTGTCCCCTCTCTCTCTCTCTCTCTCTCTCTATCCGTCTCTCTCTTCTCTTTCCCATTCACCGAACTCACACAGAGACGCAGAGAGTTGCAGAAGAACAGGAGCTCTCTGTTTCTTTTTCGGAATCAGCGCGAGAGCTCTGCTTTTGGAGCGAGATGATTTGTCTCGGTCGAGCCTTGGCGCTCTCCGGTCCGATTAATCGAGTGCATCTCTGCAATTTCCCTTGTCCGAGCTCCCGATTCGGCGACGCCAAGCCTAAACTGAGCTTGAAATGGCGATCCATGGCGTCCGAGCCGGAGTCATCATCTTTCGCTCTCTCAATGGACGCCGAACCCGCCGATAAAAACGCCGCCGGGTACTCTCTCTGTTGATTACATGTCTGTGTGCTTGGTTGTTGAGAATTTGGATGAGAACGAGACTTTTAAATGTTTGAACTTTTCTCTTTTAGGGTATATATGAAAAGATTATTCAATATTATTCGGTGACCTAAAGTTGTTTTTCGTAGATTTATGTTGTTGTTAATTAATTTTGTTGTTGCAATAAACTGGAGGCGGTTCGATTTGCGGGGTCCTTTGTTGATGAGCAATGTTCTTGGAGAAGTTTGAAGAGAAAAATAAATAAGCATTTGATTGTTTTATGCTGATACAAAATGGGCATAAAAGTTTATCGAAAGGAAAAATGGGATAAATTTCTCAAGAATAGAAGATATAGTTGTTGATATTATTTTCAACAGCACCTTCTGATGACTACATGACAATCCTGTTACTAGTTTGAAGTTTTTAATATTGATACTGGGAAAACATGTAGTTCTTTATTTGTCATGATAGATGAGATTAAGGATGGAAAATGATGCCTTCACATGGGATGATTACAAACTCAGGTTTTGTATCATTGAGGGACCTGATACAGTGCAAGACTTTGCCAATATGGAACTGCAAGAAATTCAGGATAATATCCGAAGTCGCCGGAATAAAATCTTTTTGCACATGGAGGAGGTAGGCAAGTGAGACCATTTTCTCTATCAGCACTTTTACTTTGATGCTTTTTTAAAGAAGTGAAAATAATGAAAATGGGAAAAGTCGTCTACTGCTTTGGTTGTGATTGCTATTAGGCTCTGTTTTGCATTTTTTTTACGAAACATAGTATAGAATGCCACTTTTCTTCTAATTACTATTAAAATCCGTTTTCTCATTCATATACGGCATTTCAATAGGAAACAACATTTCCATGACATAACTTGTTGAAAAAAAAAATCAATCTCAATTATGCAGAATTGTTTGAAATACAAGATAACTCTATTGAAGATGCGAAGTTCTGTTAAGACTTACAGTTACATGGAAATTCTAGAATATCACTCGACCCACTATTTATTCTCTTTTCATACTTTTACTTGTGTGCATCACTTTGGGTGATTTTTATTTTTGAAATCAGTTCTATTGTCAAAAAGTTTCTTTAATCAGCATACCTCTAATTGCCAGTAGAGTTTTCATAGTGGCTGAACTGTTTTGTATATGAATAATTATTAAGTTTATGCCCTTAGATATAAACTTATCGCAAGCTTAGGAAAACGAAATAAGTATATTTTTCCATATTTAATCATTGAGGTAACATCTTATAATCTCTGATACCTGAAAAATTGTAGGTTCGCAGGCTGAGGATACAGCAAAGAATTAAAAGTGCCGAGCTCGGAGTTTCAAAGGATGAGCGAGAAAATGAACTTCCTAATTTTCCATCGTTCATCCCCTTCTTGCCTCCCTTAGTAAGTTTCCTTTGTATAAAGTAGTATTCTTGTGGTCCTTGTTTCAGTAATCCATCCATTTCATGTAGTTAGCCTGTTTTACCTGCATTATCGATTCCACCTTGACCATGGAAACAAGAACAAAAGTTCGCAATTTTTTGCTTCAATTAGTTGATCACGCGGTGAATAATGTTTGTATGTCGTTTGCAGAGTCCAGCAAACCTAAAACAGTATTATGCTACTTGCTTTTCTCTGATTGCTGGGTTTATGCTTTTTGGTGGCCTTCTTGCTCCCTCTGTAAGTTATCTGCAATATATTACTTCTGCTAATGAGTCTTAAAGATTATGTTGACGGGGTTGGTGATAACAATTTTGGAGAATAGGAGAAAATAGAAATGTATTAAGTCGGTGACTTGGTCTTGTTGTATTTGTATCTCAGTTGGAGCTTAAACTGGGACTAGGAGGCACATCGTATGCTGATTTTATACGAAGTATGCATCTGCCTATGCAATTGAGGTATAGCTTGTCTCTTTATCCTATTCTCTTCAAATGTCTCTATCTGTCATTACCTTGCCAAGATGTTCATGATTCCTGTTCCGAGAATAGTTATGCCATTTTGCTCTTCTCTACTACTTCAAGAATCACTACTACATCCTGTGTTTAATTAATCAAATGTTAAGATACAGTATTAACAAATTAGGGAGATGGGATGGTTCAAAATGTATGATTATGTAGAACTTACTAGTATCTCCTTCCCTTTAAGCAGTAATAATATAACATATCTTCATATATTGTTGCCTATCTCCATATGAAACTACTAATGGTGTTTGTTCGATATCATGTCTGGTCTCATTTATTTACCCATTGTCCTGTCAAAGTGCAGTCAGGTTGATCCCATTGTAGCGTCATTCTCTGGAGGAGCAGTTGGGGTAATTTCAGCATTAATGATTGTTGAAATAAACAATGTGAAACAGCAGGAGCATAAAAGATGCAAATACTGTCTTGGAACTGGTATAATTTTTGAATGATGTCCCATATGCCAACTTTTTTTTTTTTAATGAACATATGCTGACTTCTGGCTCAAGGTTTTACTGAGGATCTGGGATCTAGGGTAAAGATAGTTCTTTTTGCTATATACCTTCTATGTAGGATGTCATGGTTTTCCAGTTCCACCCTGAATGCATATTTTTTGACACGGACCTTGGTTTTAGAAAATAAACAACATTTAATTTCGTTATCCTATTTGAGATTTCAATTATAGAATAGTGTTCAGAGTTGGGTGTATTTCTCACTCTTATATTTTATGCAGGGTATCTTGCTTGTGCTCGTTGTTCAAATACAGGAGCCATTGTCCTTATTGAACCGGTGTCCTCAGTTAATGGTGAAAATCAGCCTCTGTCAACGCCTAGAACGGAAAGATGTTCCAACTGCTCAGGATCTGGAAAGGTTGAACATCTAAAATGCGATTTTACTAGCTATTCTAAGTTCCTCTTTCTGCCATCACAGATCAACAAGTTCCTTTTTTACCCTTTATGGGTAACTTTCCCTAATGCCCTGTCTCTGGTTTGGCAGGTTATGTGCCCAACATGCCTCTGTACTGGAATGGCAATGGCAAGTGAGCACGACCCTCGGTTTGATCCCTTTGATTAGAGGTGCACCATCATACACATCTCTATACTCATACATGTAGAAAAAATCCAATTTATGCGGCATACTGGTCTCCATGGCATAACGAAGAAGTTCTGTACAAATTATCAGTTCCAATATCATGGCTGAATCCAAATTGCACTAAATTGTAGAATTGCTGCAGCCTACCCAAAGGTCTCACCTGGCTTCTGAGAGTCTTGTTACGGTGTGATATGGCTGCAGGTTGTTGGCACTTCATTAGGACATGATAGCACTACATCTGTACTATTTTCCTGGACCAAGTAATTTAACATCTTATGTAGCAATGCTTGACGAACCAATCGGCAGGCATGCCCTCGGGCTTTCCTTGGCAAACATTGTTTATGGATAATAATAGTAGTATGGTTTTTGGCTAAGAGAATTTATTCTGTAACCTGTTCCTTTACGACTTTATCCCACCCACCACCCCCAAAATTCATCTGCCGCAATCTTTGTTTCTTGTAACATAGAGAAATAGTAGCAGAAAGGCTTTTCTTCATGATTTCATTGTCATTTTTCCCCCTCAAAAATAACAAGAGAAACTAGCAAACTGTTTGATAAACTATTAACATTAGTATTCAACAGAATAGGACTTGTAAAGCATGATTATGGAAGTAATTAGCCAAAGAGGCAACTAGAATACAATTTTTTCATGTTTCTGAAAATTTACATATCTTGTATGATTTTTTACCAATTCTACACTTGATACCGCTGAATTTACTGGTAAAAATGCTTTGTTTTTGTGAGCCCCCAACAGCTAATCTCCGTTCTGCTTGAACCGCACTCTTCAAGGAATTGCTAATGTCCCCCAATGCCCATACTAAAGATATATGAGGGCGTGGATCCTGCAATGAACATCCAATATTGTGCACCGGTATTTAGAAAGAACAATATTAACCCATAATTATTTTGCTGGTGTTCTCTCACAAAAATTTAATTTCAACTTTTTTTGTTACAATGTTTTTTCTTACATAAATTTTACTTTTTAAATTAAGTTCTCAATTCAAAAGAGCGACACGAAGAGGGTCTTAAGTGTTCCATTTTATGAAGGAACGACTAAGGACAAGTCTAACCTCGTAAAACTCAGGTAAATTGTGAAGCTTATAGACCTCATTGACGGCTTGAATCTGCTTAGTAACCTGCAATTTACGCATCCACATAATATTTATATCAGCTAACAAAGTAATGGTAGATTTTTCTTGAAAGTGATTCGCTAACTAAACTGCTTCTAGAGACTATACATACCTCGGCTAAACCCTTTGCAGTGACTTCCATAGACAGAAAAGTGCGTGTACCATCATCATTAACAAAAACTTCCCACTTGTTAAAATCAATCCAATACCTGAGTCGAATACTGTAATGGGTCATGCATACTTCACCTATAGCATTATATTCTCAATGACAAAAGCTGAGATGAAAAGAAAAATGTACAATAAAAAAATGGAATGTACTATGTTGAAACAAATGTTAGCCACTAAATGATGAAAAGAAACAACTTTAACAATAAAATAGAAGTTGTCCGCTATAGCAGAAAATTTTTCCAACAGCTCATGCCTCATATTACTTTTTCTATTCATCACCCAACAACTCGGGTTATTTTCTTTTCGTGATTCAACGGCGAAGATTGAGCTGCATAGAAGTTTCAGAGAGCCGCATAGTGCGTCCCAATTTTCAAAGTTATCGAACGAGTGATCTTACCGCCCCTGAAACTGAAGCTTCTGACGGAGCATTGTCACCAGAGAGTCAATCTGGTGAGCTCGGATCGGGACAGTTCTGCCTAAGCTTATGTGGAATTTCCTTCCCAAAGCAACCTGCTCAAGCTTGTCATCATCTTTGCAAAGAGCGTCAAGTGGGACATCAACGTCGACCACGTAAAGACCAGGCACAAGACGAGCAACTCTCTTCAAGAACAAAACCATATCTTTCTTTGGCGCAGATGGTATATTTACTATAACCACATTGTTTAGAACTTAGAAGAGTACAACAACAACAACAAGTGTAAATTCATAAGAAATGGAAGTACAAAATTGAGCATTGAAAATTTACCCACCTGGGATATAGACATGTAAAGCATAGTTCCCTTCAACGTGAGGAAAACTCCTAACTCTGCTGGGCTGCCCGCTGGGAGAATAATCCAGAGACCCTTCACAGTCAAAACGTCAAACACTTGGTGGGCATAACTGAAGAGCTGTATATACCTTATACTATATAAACAGCTATAAAAACTGATTTCCATTTGAGCTCAAAAATTGTAAAGATAACAGATGAAATATGTGAGAATTAGTGGTTACCGAGGGAGTTGGGCGGGTTAAGGAGCGAGAGAGGAGGTGGAGGAAGAGGAAGAGGAGACGATTCCTGGGAAATAGTCGGCGGAGAAAACTGAGTTGGGGACTCGGAGTCTGAGTCGCCGCCATAAGAAGCTATCAAGGCCTCC